TTCCCTGGTTCTTCCCTTTTGGAATAAGAAAGAATATAACTTGTTTCTGACTTTATAGGAGCCCACAGTTAGGAGACTTGGGATTATTAAAGAGATCTTGGACAGCTGTGTTAAAAACTTAAAGGCTATAGGACTCGTAAAAGTTGGGCAGTCTTTTCTGCCGTGATCTTAGAAACAAGAAACGAAAAGGGTATAGTTTAGAGTGATGTGTTTTGTGTCGAAGTTGACAAGGGGTGGAATATCATAGTGGAACCGTCTGGCCACACGGCTGTGGTGAGTGTTTAACTTGCGCCTGGAGATCCCTGTTTCCCATCTTGCCTGTCATCCCTATGAACTGTCCAGCCACTTGAGGCAAGTGTGGGATGCTCTGCTGGTTTCCACTTCTCACAGCCTCTCACTGTCTGATTCAGCCCTTGCTGTGGTTCAGATTTGTGTGTGTGTGTTGTGCGCACACATACATGTGCATGAGGAGACCAGAGGTCATCCCCAGGAACTATCCACTTGTTTTTGGAGACAGGGTCTCTTGTTGGCCTGGAGCTCACTGATAGCCTAGGCTTTCTAGCCAACAAGTCCTAGGGATCTGCATGTCTTCCCCTTCTCAGTGTGAGGTTTACATGCTATCATGCCTAGACTCACGTCTTTGTGCTTGCTGTGTATGGCAAACACTTTACTGATTGAATCATCTTTCCAGGCCTTGTCCAGTTTTTTGTTTTTTTTTTTAATAGTCTCAGCGCAGAAGGTAAATCTTGGAATCAGAATTTGACTCAGGTTTTCTTAACTTCAAGCAGAATCTTCTTCTCTTGTTTCTCCAGGACCCCTTTGCAATGCCAGCCAGGGATTTCTTCGCCCGAAGAGCAAAGGGTTATAGATCGGCAGGGATAACACTCAAACCTAATACCGCTCCACACCACCCCTGTCTGCCCAGCATGCTATGCACACGGTGTCCCTCATCTTGGGCAGGTTTATTGTCTTCACCAAGGCAGAGACACACAAGGTCGTGTCAGGGTCAGATTCATTGGTCTTGGTTTTATTTGGTGGAGGAAGTTGTCTGAGTACACACGCAAGTCCTCTGAGAAAGAGAATTGCTCAATTTCAAGAACTTGAAAAAGCAGCCTCCGAGAACCCGGCACTCCAGCGGCTCTTTCCTCTCCAGGAACACGTTCACCACGCTTGTCTTTGCTTTGCCTGTGTGTCTGAGTCTCTGCAGCCAGACACCAGTCTCTGTAGTTGCTGGAGAAGAAAGAAGCTCAGAGGGGCTCCCCCATAAATCCCATGGCTCCTAGTCAACTACATTCCATGCTATAATAGAATAAGATATAAAAATGAAATAAGCAGGAGCTATTGAGATTAATCAGCTTTGTTTCTTAGCTGTCCCAATGAAGTGAGATGTTATGTTGCAAATAATGTACTAGAACCAGAGTCATGAAGTCCTGTCTAGTAGTGTGCTTATAGAGTGACGGATGCGGGTCACAGGTCCTCAGTGAGGATAACTCTGGCCAAGGTTCCTGTGCTTGAAGCTGAATCCAGTGAGGCAGGCTGGCCACCAGTAGCTAGATGTGTGCCTCAATACCGTAGGGGGTGGGGGCTGCTCTGAAGCTGTGCCAGCCTGGTTTCTCATCATCACAGGTCTTAGATTAATAATTTGAAAATTCTACCTTATCAGCTATTTTAAGGCTTCAGAGGGGAATTCCTTTGGTGGCAATATTCTCCCCTGTCCCCCTCTCTCCAAGGTCTCAAACTTGCAATTTCCTACATCAGCCCTCACAAGAGCTGGGTCAGCAGGCTTCTGCCACCATACCCATCCACCTCCCCTTTTGGATACCTCTTCGTTCTCCCAGAAGGCCTTGCTGTGTTATTCATCACAGCAGCCCCGCACATGCACGGTGTTCTCAGCTAAGAATTGCAAGGGCCGTGCTACAGTTTGCATGTGAAGTGGCATTATTTTGAGAGTGTATTCATTACTTTAATTGCTGTGATAAAATACCCTGATGAGAGGAACTTAAGATTTATTTGGGTTCATGGTTCGAGGGCGGTCACAGTGGTCAGAGAAATGGAGAGTCACGTCGTCAGGAAGCAGAGAGCTGGGAACGCTGGTGCTCTGTTCCCCGTCTCCACCTCCATTCAGTCTGGGCCCCTAGTCTGTGATATGGCACTACACACATTTAGGGTGAGCCTTTGCACCTCACAAAGGGTAACCCAGCTAACCCTTCACAGACAAGCCCAGAAGCTTGTCTCCTTAGTTATTCATCCTGTCAAGTTCCAAGACTAACCACAGAGAGGCTGTGGGACCTTCGGGACTCCAGGCTGGTAGATTTAGGCCCCTAGCGGTGGATCGTGAAGGTTGTATGTGCACTCTGCTTCCAGCCCCGCCTCTGGGGCCTGGTCTTCCAAGATGCACACAGAAGCCACCTCACACTGCTGACACAAAGCTTCTCCAACTTGTGTCCCCACCATGATGAACTGTTCCCTCCAGAATTGTGAATGGAAATAAAATTCTCTGTCCTTAAATTGCTTCTGACATGTGTTCGCCACAGCTTTGACATGGGAACCCATACAGAGAGGTTATCTCCCAGAACAGTGTCATGTCTGCCCACACCAAAGGTAGGTGAATCCAGAGGCTCTGGGTACAGTCGGCTGGGGGTCCCCAAAAGGATGTGTGTTATTCAACTGTAAAATGTCCACACATTGAATGTATACCTGGATGACATAAGGATACTGCAAACAGATAAGCTAAAACTCTTAAATTCTGGGGCTGGCAAGGTGACTGAATGGGGTAAGGGTGCTTGCCGTCAAGCCTGATGACCCACGTTTGATCCTAGGAACCCACATGGTGGAAGGAGAGAACCACCTCCCATCAACTGGCCTCTGACCTCCACTAGCCCAACTGCACATGATGTTTTAGTGGCCAAAGATACTGTCTGGGGAAGCCTGACAAGTAGCTAGTGTGACTGAGTGATCTCTGTAATATTGAGTACAGTGAGACTGATTACATCCACTTCCATCTGACATCTTTAGTTAAGCGATCTTGCAACTAACTGGATGAGAACCAACCCATTCTAACCCTTATCCAGTTAGCATCCGGTTTCATTCATGACTTGATGTCCAGGTATTTGCCAGGGTGTCCTGATACCAACAGTCTTTGACTGGTGGGTCTTGGCTTCTTATGCCAACCGCTTCCCAAAGAGGCACTAGTGCATGGTTTGGCTTTGGGCGAGACATCCCATAGACACACCATGAGTCCCTTTAAGCCCAGGCAGCTATTTTCAAATCTGATGTTTGTTTAAATACAAGTTCCCTGTGTGTGCTGACTGATGACCCCAAGGTGTACTTTAATTAGAGGTGGCAGTAAAACCCTGACATTCTGTCTTCCACTTTGATGACAAAATCCCTGGCACTGAAGTCCAGGAAGTAAACAGCCATCTAGCTTCTAAATCCAGCAAATAATACCTTTATATACTAAAGCGGTTGCTATATGGCTACCACTGTTCAAAATTGCACCAACACAGACCGTTCTTGCCTTGGAACCAGAAATCAAAAAGACATCTGCTAAGGATATGTTCCTTTTTGAGACTCCTAGAAGGAAAAATGCTCAATTACTTTGTTTTCTCTCTCTAATAACAATTTCAGTATGTTGTCAAACAAACAGAACTTCCAATTTAGTGACTGCGGGAGATGTTTCATTGTAATGGGGGCTGGCTGAGTAGGTGGGTACCCATGACTGTGTGCTAAGCTCATGTGTGATCTAGGTCTTACAGGCAACTCTGTTGGATGTTCTGAGTATATTTTTATTATAGTTCATCCCTGTGGTGGTTTGAATGAGAATGGCCCCCATAGGCTCATAAGTTCGAATGCTTGGCTTTTACTTAAATGGAACTATTTGGGAAGGATTAGGGGGTGTGGCCTTATTGGATGAGATATGTCACTGGGAGTGAGCTTGGAGGTTTCAAAATCCCATGCTAGGCCTATTTGCACCTGCTCTCTCTCTCTCTCTCTCTCTCTCTCTCTCTCTCTCTCTCTCTCTCTCTCTCCTGCTGTTGTTGCTGCTTGCAGATTAGGATATAAAGCCCTCAGCTACTTTTCCAGCACCATGTCTGCCTGCCTGCCACCATGCCATGATGATCATGGACTAACCCTATGAAACTATAAACAATCTGCCAATTAAATGCTTTCTCTTATAAGAGTTACCTTGGTCATGGTGTCTCTTCACAGCAATAGAGCTAAGACAATCTAAGACTATCCCAGAAAGAGATTTTATTTGACTGTACCTTTAAATCATTCTTAGGAATGAAATGGGGCACACTCCCACAGCTCTGCCTGGGATCAGCACATCCCTTTCAAGAATCAAATTATAGGATAATAAGAGCTGGGGATTCTGGACACTGTGGGTTCTGGACACTGAACCTGGGTCCTCTGCAAGAGCAGCCAGTGCTCTTAACTGCTGGTCCATCTCTGTAGCTCCTCCCTCTCTTTATCTTAGTGAGTATAAGCTGGGGGTGGGTGTGGGGAAGCCATAGCCTTGCAGTGGAGAGAGCTGGCAGACACAGGCTTCCCTAAGGCTAAGGGTTGATCTTATCAGGGAGTAATCATACCAATATGGCAAATCTCTTGACTGGAAATGATCAGGGGAGCATCTTGCTCTACAGTCCTTGTCTTGGATAGGGTTTTTATTGCTGTGAAGAGACATCATGACCACAGCAACTCTTATAAAGGAAAACATTTAATTGGGGTGGCTTGATTACAGTTTCAGAAGTTCAATTCATTATCATCACGGTGGGGAGCATGGAAGCGTGCAGGTAAACACTGGTACTGGAGAAGTAGTTGAGAGTCTTGTAGGCAACTGGAAGTTGACTGAGACACTGAGTGGTATCCTGAGCATAGGAAACCTTAAAGACAGCCCCACAATGACATACTTCCTCTAACAAGGCCACACCCACTCCAACAAAACCAGAACGCCTAATAGTGCCACTCCCTATGAGATTATGGGGGCCAATTACATTCGAACTGCCACAGTGCTCTTGTGAAAGCCCACCTCCGTCTACTGACCCAAGAACATCAGCTGCACATGACTTGAGGGATGCTCTCCAATACAGACCCCTTAGTGCTCTTCAGAACACCCAAGGTCACGGAGATAAGAAAGGGGTGAGTAATTGTCCTCCATAGGAGGGGACCAGAGAGATAGGGTGAGTGATTATAAAGCACAGCTCTAGACTGGAACTGGCGACTGAAAAGGAATATTAATGGAGAAATTAGTGCAGTCCACAGAGGGTCTACACTTAATTAACTGTATTACACCAGTGTTGATTTCTGCTTTTGATGAATGAGCTGCAATTGTGCTGTGTGCTGTTACCATTGGGGGAGAGTAGAAGAGCAGATACAAGAACTCCACAAACTCTCTTTGAAACCTTTTCCTAAATCCAAAAATCATTGCAAAATAAAATATTTAGTGAAAAACCTAAATAGTTTTCTAATCAACCCAACGATAACCCTGATGACTCATTTTTCACTGGTGAAGGCGCTGTAATTTCAGGGTTCTGAGTTCATCAGAAAAATCATTTAATTACTTGCTTCTTAAAAAAAATTATTTATTACAGTTGCTGGGGATCAAACCCAGAGCCTTGCACATATTAGAAAAGAGGTCATCTATCCTTGATTATCAAATGTTTAAGGTGGGCTTTCAAAACTATTTATAAAATGATATTAAATGTTCCAAAATACCTCCATCTCTGGGCAACGAGCTTAAGAATGCAAAGAGCCGAACGGCACTAACGCTCTACCTCATAATGAAGGGACTCAGTGCTCCTGACTCCTGGACTAGAATGTGAACACAGTCCTGTGGATTGAGGGCTGCAGAGAGGACCCCGGCAGGACTTTAGAAATGTCTGCTGGGACTTCGGAGCCAAACTACTAGTTAGTTGGTTAGTTCTCTCTGTCTCTGCCTCTCTCTACCCCCTCCCCCTTCTCTCTCTCAGGCAGATTTCTTTTTTGCGTGCGTGTTGACACAAAGGCCAGGGGAGTATGTCCAGTGTCTGCTATAACTCTCCACCTCACTCCCTGGAGACAGGGTCTCTCACTGACCCTAGACCTCAACGTTTTCCCTCCAGCCTTGTGGCCAGCAAGCTTCAGCAAGCCCCCCAGTCTCCATCTCCGCCAGCTCTGGGGTTATAGGCACTCATTACCACACCTGGCTTTTCATGTGGGTGCTAGGACCCAGATGCAAGTGCTCTTACCCGCTGAGCTGTCTCCCCAGCCCGTCGAGTCTCACCGTACCGCACACACCGGGCTTGTATTCCTGGACTCCAGCGATCTTTCTTCTCGAGCCTCCCGAATAGCTAGGAAGATGGCAGTGTATCGCCACTCCTGGTTTACTGTTACTACAGTTTTATGATTGGAAAGTTAGAAGGCAGATTTCACAAACAGGACATGCTGGTGCAGGAAGAGGAAGACCATGGCACACAGAGCAGGTCCACTGTCTCTTTAACTGTCACATTTGCCACATCAAACAGCAGCTCGCTGATACTTTTGACAGCACAGTGGAGGGGCTGAAGAGATGGCTCAGTGATTAAGAGCATACATTTAGGATGTGGGTTCAATTCCTGGACCCTTGTCACGTGGCTTACAACCTCCCGTAACTCCAGTTCTAGGTGATCTGATACCCTCTCCTGCACCCATACTCACATAACACATGTACATATAAATAAAGATAAATCTTAAACAAGACTTGTCATAGATATTATAGTGCACCGTTTCTGATATATATCATTTCTTTTCAAATTAATTTTTTTAGTCCAGTGTGGTGGTGCATTGCCTTCCACCCCAGTGCTTAGGAGGCAGAGACAGGCAAACCTCTTAGTTGAAGGCCAGCCTGGTCTACATTTAGAGTTCCAGGCCAGCCTGGTCTGTACAGTGAGATCCAGGCCAGTCAGAACTACATAGTCCGACCCTGCCTCCTTTTTATTACATTATTAATGTGTGTGCACGTCTGTCTGTGTATATGTGAGGGGGTGTATCTCTTCTGGCCTCTGTGGGATTCTGCATGAACCGGGTGCACATAAACTCACACAGCCACACACATACACATGAAAATAAGAAAGGAAGAAAGATTAGGTCCTTACTATTTTTTTTTCTAGTGGCAATTCAATTCTAATTCCATTTTCATACTAACAAAAAATGACGATAGGCCACTACCAAATCATCAAGGTGGGCATTTTACACTTTGGTGCCAGGTCTTTGAAGACGTGTTTATTTCTCCCTTAGCATGCATCTCAACTCAGAGGAGCCCCAGCCCTGGTGCTTGGTCACCTGTGAACTGGATCTCACAGTTGCAATCACAATTTTCCAGCCTGCCTTCTTCATCGCCTTCACCCTCAAGGTTTCTGCTTCAATTTAATGAGAGCTGCCTGGTAAACAGGATGTGCGAGAATCCCTCTGAGTAATTAAGAGGAGCTGGTGATTCGTGTGAACTCTCACCCTTCATTTGGGTGCTTTATCTATTTCTTTGTGTCTGTGCTCCAGCCCGGTGTTTCTGTCTTGTGCTTAATTCCTTGTAACACCTGCCAAAGGCAACAAATCAGAACTGACACTCTGGCTCACCCAACCATTTCAGACTGGAGTGGGTACACAGCCTACCTTCCAAGTTACCCAAGTGACAGTTTTACCAAATGACTTGCCAAAGGTTGGCTTGGCCTACGATTTCTATTTTCTCACAGCTTGCCCCTCAACTGTCAAATTGGTTTTATTTCTTGAAGTCCCTACTTCAAACTAGCAATTTCATATTAAGGATTAGGCTACTTGCTGAAACAGGTACACCCCAAATTTCCATGGCGTGAACAATCAATTAGACGTTCCTTTTTTGCTCTGTAACAGTCTGATTCTTGGTGATCATGTACTTTCTGTTTTATTAATCTAGGATCCTCTCTCCCCACCCACACATCACATGTGCCCCTAGAGACTTTGGATCTCTCTGTTTCATTCAGTGGGCAGAGATGGAGAGTGTAGAGAAAATAAAAAGCTCATAAAAAGCCTTGATCTGAAGTTTGGGGTGCTGGCGCCAGCATGAAGACCTAAGTTTGGATCCCCAGCACCCATGTGAAAAACCAGGCAGGTGCTGGTGACCCCAGTGATGGAGGTGGAAGGGAGGAGACAAGGAGCATCCCTGAGACGTGCTGGCCACTTAAAAAATAAGTGAATGCTGGATTCAGAGAGAGACTCTTAAAACATAAGGGGGAGAGCAATAGAGGAAGACATCAACATCAACCTCTGGTCCACACGCACGCACCCTAAGGAACTGGGAAACACAGATATCCTTCCCCCTCAGCCTTGGCCCCCTTACCACAGCCAGTGCTCGTCACATTAGTCAGAGCACAGCCCTCCAGTCACACAAACATGAGGGAGGCCAGGCTGTGCTGTACACATTCTTACCGTAGTGTTTATAAGAGCAAGAGAGGCCGTGACTTTCTCTTTTCATGTGTTCCTTCTCTGGGGTTTGATATTCAGATTAGACGAGGCTGTGCTATGATAAAAGTGTAAGATTCAGGTGAGCTTCTCCCCCCCCTTGGTGTTTGGATAGGATAAAATGCATCTATTCATTAATTGGGTGGATTTTTTTTTTAATTGATGCTGTTTGACTGGAAAATGTTTTTTCCTCTTGATTCAGTTCCTAATCATGGGATGCTTCCGTTTTCTTTCTTATCAGTTTGGTGGGCCCCACTTTCTTTAAGGGATTAGTTTGTTTTAGTGAAGCTTTTAAGTGCAGAGGGTTTTTTTGTTGTTGTTTTTTCGAGACAAGTTTTCTCTGTGTAGTTTTGGTGCCTGTCCTGGATCTCGCTCTGTAGACCAGGCTGGCCTCGAACTCACAGAGATCCACCTGCCTCTGCCTCCCAAGTGCT